CCTTAGATCGACCTTTTTTCGGAAGAAGCCCTCATCAAAATCCTAAAATTAGACCAACAGCTCAATAAACCAATTTGATCTAATAAACAAGGCCCTCATGAAATATATATATATATATATATATATATATATATATATACATACATATATGTGTGTAAGATTGTGTGTGAGAGAGAGAGAGAGAGAGACTATCATAACTATTTAATTTCTAGGATTAATGTCTGAAAGTTTATTTCAAACCAAAATACCCTACTTTTGAATAAATAGGCAAAACCCTCACCGAGCACTGCTATGCAACATTTTGATCATACGAGCTCTACAACAATTTGTCTCCCAATTTCATTTTCTGTTTCCAGCATGCGTGTTTGAGCTGCGACAACTTTTCACGGTGACAGCATATCTATATCAAGAAAGCTCATAATGTATTTGTTTGATTTGTTTAGGAGAATATTGAATATAGCAAAGGAAGAAGGCGGTCGCAAAAATAAACCCTAAACCTTGATGTCTATAAATATAATATAAAGTCAAACGCTTTTAGATATGATATTATTAGAAATATCTTCAAACAATGATCGATTACTATTCTAGATTTTTGGTACTGTACATAAATTAAGCAGGCAAGTTAGGCTTAAGACTAACAAAATAAGGTTAGAGCAAAAATTGGATACTCTGACAACTATTGTCTAGAGATAGATAGAAATGGAAGAGCAAAGTATGAAGGAGCATGACGTGGAGATGGAAGAGGTGGAGGATGAGGTTGACACATGGGATGTAAACTAGAGGTGTCAAAACGAGTTGACGGATCAGGTTAGGGTTCGACCCAAAATAGACCAAACTTGAATCCAGTCAACCCGAAACTACCTGTTTAATAAACAGGTCAAAAAGACCAACTCGAACCCAACACGCTAGCAACCTGAATAATCCAAACCCAACACGTAACCCATTTGGTTTAAAAAAAAAATTAACCTATTAATTATCAAATTTAAAAGATTTGATCAAAAATAAGATTATACCCAAAAATAAAAAAAAAAACTAAAGAAAAAATATATTAAACATATCATTTTCGAATCAAAAGATGGTTCTCAGGTTAACTCGAATCCTACTCGTTTAATAAATTGGTAGAAAAACACAAATTCGAGTCGGTTATCAAATAGGTCAGCCAAAACCCAAATTTTTTAGATCAAGTCATCATTTACAGTTTGACATCCCTAATGTAAACCCATCACTTGTCATTATGCTTCAAGATAAATAAGACAAGAATGAGGAAGTTGTAATCTCATTTAGGGGTGCAACCAAATCAAGCCGGTGCGGGCTCGACTCGTTAACAAGCTCATGAGTCGAGCTCACGAGTTGAGCAGAATTTTGAGCTCGTTGTATAATTGAACTCGAGTTCGATCCAACCAAAGCTTAGCTCGATTGCTCACGAGCCGGCTCGAATGCCTAGCGGGAACCCAAAATATCAAGCAAGACTCAGGAAGGCAGAAGGTGGAAGGCGGGAACGTGAAATGTCCGGCGAGAACGCGGATGCCGGGCGGAAACTCAAGTTCAGACATGGGACAGAGTTTGAACATGGGCGAGAGCGGAGGGAGTTCAGACTTCGGATGCAGGATTCGGCGGGATAGAGGTCTAACACGATCACACGGGATAGAGGTCGAACGCGAGACGCAGGACGGAGTTCGAACGCGAGCGTGCTGGGAAGCAGAAGAGGACGCAACGGAGCTCGCATGTGTCGAATTCGTTTCAATGGCACGAGCCGAGCTCGAGCTCGACTTTTGAGATCAACTCGAATTCGACCTCGAGATTTGGCTCGTGAGTCGAGCTCGACTCATCTCGTTTGCACCCTAACCTTATCTCTTATCATTGTACCTTAAAATGGGAAGGCCGAGAAGGCAAGAGATGTAATCCCATCTCGAGCTATTATACCTCCAGATAAGGAGATCAAGAAGGCAAAGGATATAACCCCATCCCTTGTCATTACACATAAGAGTAATGTATAATTGATCGGGCAAAAGAAAAAGCCAAATAATAGCAAAAGATAATTGATTAGGGATTTACAAATCTATCAGAGAAGAGGCACAAAGCCAAAAATTCATGGACCATTGATTTACTTTGCCCTATAGATTAAGAATAGCTATTTATCTTCAAGTCTTGGATGTTATGATTAGTTTATAACTCCAAGGAGGAGCTAGGAGTGGGCACTGCTGATGCAATATTGTTTCAAAAGTTAAATACAATGATATTGTTGAATAGTAAGATGAAAAATATTTTGTTTCATTGAAAGTTTGAGAAATTGGTTCATTAAACTAACTTCAATTTTCATACAAGGGCATGAGTATGACGCTACACAAAGACCTATTGACTAGGCATAATTGTGTTGGATGAGTGATTTGATCACCGATAAAAATAGCAATTGTGATGCACAACAAGTCAGAAAGGAGAGACTCCTTCAAGTGGCCCAAAGAAGCTCTTATGTATGTCATTGGAGAGGAGAAAAAGTTCATAAAGCCATGGAAATGTGCAAAGTTCATATATTTTTTAATGAATTGGAACAAAGTTCATTAGATAAAATATAAAAGCTCTATGTCCACCAAGGTTATAATGTTGTATGTCCTGTACCTCAACGCACAGCTTGTAGATAATGATGAATCAATTATGTAGATGTTTCCCTAAGTTGTTTGGGCAGTCTCAGTTATTTGACAATAGATAAAGCAACTCTCCTCAAAATTTCAATGGAAGAACTTCCAAAAGTTGTCATAAGATAAGTCCATTGTTTAAAATTGCACAATATGAGGCCATGCACTCATGAGCTGCAACAACTTTCTGTCGACTGCTTCAACCTCCAGTCCACCACCTTCGCCGCAACCACTACCATCAGGTATGACTTGAAAGGCGCACACCACCACTGCATCCTCCTCTAAAAATTTTGGAGTATTACTCTTTTCTTTATTTTGATGACAAACATTTATGAAAGATGACTTTTATATGAAAAAGCAAATTGTGAGACATAGGACTCCAAAGGATGAGGCAGGGGAGAGACCAATTTGCTATGATGATGACTCAAATAAAGACCCCATCAGTGATAATAATACAGAAGATTTCTAATTTGTTGACAATTATTGCAATTTCTTTAGGAATTAAATGTGGATTAGTAGGGAACTTTGAAAGAAAGAATTTGAAGTTGAAGTTGATGTTATATGATACTTTTATGAAATTCATATATTTTATGTTATTTTGCTCTTGTAATATTTAGATTTCAATTATATTTCACATAACTTATCACTTGCCACTTTACATCTTGTACAATTTTTTTGTTTCAATTATATGTCAATTTGTAACTTTATAGTTCAATATAAAGTTAATATTGTCATCTTTTAACATCTTATTTGGGTATTATATTTAAAATCATTTTTAACATTTCTTTTCACTTTACGTAATTTTTTAATTTTAAGGCTTACCCCTCAAAATTCCTTGAGGCTTACACGCCGCCTTACGAACAAAAAATGCCTCAGTATCCAACTGCGCAATTTTAAACCTTGGATAAGTTATTTGATAATTTAACAAAAAGTAATTATAATTGAAACAGTTCTTGTATATATAGTTTGATGATTCATTTAGAATCATTTACATCTTATTTGCAATGGTGATTTCAAAGTACATACAAAAACACACATAAATACCTTATTTCAAAGATGAATCTTTTGAAAGATACATTTAATCATGTACAATTCTATAGGAACTATTTATGAGTAGATTTATTTCACAAGAATGTCAATCCATAAGTTCATTCAAATGTATATTGTATACATGGGTCCATTCAAATGTGCATTTCTTTTCAATTACACATCATACGTTACTTGGAAGGGAAGAGAAGTCTCAATTAATGAGACTTAGCAAGCACCATGAAATGAAAAAAGAAGGAAAGTGGATGGAGGTCTTTGCTAAGTTATGCATTAATCATGTTACTCCAGTTCATTATCATATCAACACAAAAGCACTTCATTGCCTTCTAACTGCCACAAGAGAACCTAACATCATCTAAGCAGTATCATTGCCATAAAACGAGTACAGGATCCCTTTGCATGAAAAATGAGGTATTGTGCTATCTATAGTCAACTTGTGGTATACCAATGATTGGCAAAAAGATGGCTTGTGTGTTAGACAACATCATCAAGCTCACTGGTGCATCATAATTGCATGACACAATGATGATTTCTTGATCATCTCTCACCCCATTGAGGATTTATAGTATGCTTTTTAGATGTAGTTTATTCTTTATTTAATCAATGAGGACTTATAAGGGGGATGCCTCATCCTAATTCAATTCAAACTACGGTGCAAAAACACTAACTTAAGGGTAAAAGAGGTGCAATCATCTTACATCATATTTTTTGTTGATCGAGTGAAGGGCCATTTTCAGAATAGATATGCTCAAAGCAACAAAGTTTTAGTAATCAAGGCCGAGCATATTGATCGACAACAAGCATAAACATAAATTTTTTGAAGAAGACAATGATAACCTTCCCCCACAGGAAAAGTAAAATTCATAATCAAGGATATAAATCAACATCTGTATCAAAACTCTAAGAAAATTCAACAAGAAAAAATTTCTTGCAAACTGATTATTTTGTCCTCGAGACAATTTCAGCAAAAGAAATTCCACATCTTCCAAGTCAAGTGGGTGCACTAGAAGATAAACAACACTTATTTCTTAGTATTGCTGAAGTGATCTATAAGTTCTGAAATGCTATCCTACGCACCGCCACTAACTAAACACTAAATAAGCTTTAAGCGTCACAGTTAGATAGCTACAAGAACCAGACATTCCTAGCAGCCTTTTAAAACAAATGCCAAAGCATGAACATCGGATTGATTTCCCAAAGTAATGGGAAAATTATAACAATATTTAAAAAAAAAACATAAGATTCAAAAATACATAAACTACAAAGGAACGGAAATTTAACCAAAAACTTTGAAGCAGATAGAATCACAAAACCTGGTACCTTCAAAAATCGGCCCCTCTTATTTTCACCAACATCAAAGTAAAACACCTAAACACAGGAAACCCACAAAGCAAAATCAGATTGTCCTGCGTCCACGAACGGAAGAATTCAGAACGCTCACCTTGGTGTCGAGTTTAAGCTCCTTGCTGAAGGCATCGCGCTCGTCCGTATTGACATAATAGTTAAACAGATCAAGGAACCAAACGATGCCGTTGACGGGAACGATGATCGTGGATCGCGTCGCAGAGGTCTTCTCAGAGATCTTAAGGTAGCGTCCACGTGGATTCTCCTTCAGATCAAAATAGAAGAGTTTGTGCTCGAACTGCAGCGTCTTAGACATCAGCTCCACGTCGCTTCCGCTCGCTGTCCCCTCCATCCTTTCCCCTTCACCTATCTCCTCACCTCAACCAGATTCTAAGCAGAGAGCAGAATAAATCACAGCAAAGGTAGGAAGAAGAACCCTAGCGGAAACACTAATTAGGAATGAAATTGGACATATGGCGGAAATTGGGAGTCGATAGACGATTAGGCTTAAGTTTAGGGGTGAGCGGCGACTTGAGGGTCGGAGCCATGGGGTTTGACCGGAAGCCATTGTTCACACTCGATTCGTCCCCTTTTTAACGCTTTCTATTTCTTCTCACCCGTTCCTTGCCTTTGTTCCCTCCCCGAATAAGCCGGGAAGCCCCTTTTTACAGCGCTAGAAGGTTAGAAATAGTAGAATTTCCTTTTAACTGCCGGCGGCCCATTGTAAAAGTAAAAAACTAAAAATATAAAAATGTTAATTTTGTACTTTTTTCCCGATAAAATTTGCTCACGGTCGGGGCTAACGTGCGTGGCGAATCCAGGAATAAATGCGGTTGGATTTGCCAGCATGGACAAATAATTTAATATTATTTTATTTTTATCAGGAAGATAAAAATAAATTAAAAAAATACTAATATTATTTTTTTAGAAGATTTTAAAAATAAGAAAAAATATATTACAAAATAAAAAAATGTTTTTCATTTATTTAAGTTTTAACTCTTCTAGCATTTTTAAAATATCTCAAAATAAATATTTAATGGTACCAAAAGAGCTTTAGTGTAATTTAAATGGTAAAACAGTTCATTTAAAATAAACAAAAGTTAAATTAATAAGAATAATTAATGATATTAATAATTCTCGTATTGTATAAGATACCCTTCAACATCTTTTATATAACATTTAATATTATATGACATAGAGTGTTTGAAACGGATGCATTATTATAAAATTGGTTATGAAGTTATTATTGGAAAATATAACATAAATATCATGTATTGTATCATGTATAAATACAATATAATATATCATATTATTCATACATATTGTATGTCATTGTATCAATCTTATTATATATATGTATCAGTCATGTCATATATTATCACATTAATTATGTAATTTGTCATATTAATTGCATATATAAGCAAGATAAGACATCTAGCATCTGTATTATTTTTTCTTGTATCCAGCCATATAGGCCAACTTTACATGAATTTGTTTCAATTATATCAATTTGTTGTCAGAAATCTATCTCATGTCACATATTAGAAGTCACAAGTCATGTGATTTTCATGCAAGAAGTCGACACTTCTTGCTCGTTGGTGTATCCTATCTGCATGGTGGATAATTATGAATAAGGATGCTAACGAGGACAACAATTACTTAAAATAGAAGAGATTATAAAATCTCTTAAATAAAAAAATAAACTGTTAAACATCGATGCACATTTTAATGTAATTGTTGATATTTCATTAAGAAATTTAAAGATTAAGTATGCTCATGTTGGAATAATCATGGGATGGTGATCTCCTAAGAAGTTACACCAACGAGATAAAATTTTAAGGTCAGTAAACCAAAGTGGATAATGCCTCAATAGTGAAGAGTTTGAGTTCCTCACGTTATCAAAATAATGAGAGTTGGAAATAGGTACATAAGTAGCATTTTAAATAATTGTGAAATAAGCTTTATTAGTTTGCCATCACTATGATTGCTACAATTTTTATTCTTGCAACATTATTTACCCCCTTCTACATTTTCTCACTTCTTGTTATTATATTCGCCCTCCTATTGCGCTATAATTTTCCTCATGTGAAGAGCTTCTCTTGGATTTATTGATTTTGTCATAAGAGGGTATCTCATCTTTAGACTTCAAAGGGAGGGCAAATTATTTTGTCCGGTGTCCATATTCATCCGGACACCAATAAAAACATGCCACGTCACTCAAAAATATCGGGGTCCAGTGCATCCGGATGAGGTGACGTCTCTAGATTGGCTGTCCACATGTCAGATGACATGACGCAATAATTTGCCCAAAAGGAGGCTATGCCATTTTTTATCTATAAATATTACTTCTTATAAGTTAATATTGAGCATTCAAATTATATTTTTAATAGTTATTATTAGATTTATATTAAATGCCATATTTAATGAATTTTCAAATACGTTTAACCTTGAAATTATCAATTTAAATTTTTCACTAAAAAACTACTTTAAAAATCAGGAAAAAAACCACTCAAATAAAGCCTTGATTACTACTCAAATAGCCATTTTATTTCCACTAAGTAATAGGCTATGATCTTTATTAGTCTTTAGCAACTAGGCAGATGAGGAATATTGGTTGTCTTAATTCCACATCTTTCTAAGTTCATAAGCTCTTCAAAAGATAAAAAAACCCACTTGTTCCAATTCATTTTCCTTTTCTAATAGACAAATGATAACAGCATTACAAATTATTTCATTGTCCATTTCATGCTACATGAACAAAGTTACATTCTCTCATTTTTATCTTTGCTGCCACAGTAACCATATTTTGATGCTCCAAACTTTATACTAAAATCGAGAAACTCTGCTTAGCTGACATAATTTATGGAGGACAAAATTATGTTAACCAATTCACAGCCATTAATCGGAAAAAAAAATACTAATCTTCCTTCTCTCCTGCTGTTGGGTCTTTCTCAGGTTCAGAGCTTACAACAGGCAAGCTTCTTTTGTACTGCTGTGATGCCAGTCTCCTCTCAAGAGGCGTCTTCCTCTTACTGACAACAAACCTGTTCACTCCCTTCCTCATTGGCATAATTTGGGGGAAATCTTCATCAGGTATCTGGCTAAGTTCTGAGATATCCTTGATTTGAGCAGCCCGGCGAAACCATCGCTCAGCCTTTGCTTCTTCAGACATATCCAATGGATCAGGCTCTTTCACACAAGATCCTTCCAAGCTCTTACCTGAATAACCATAATTCCCATTCAGACTCTGGTCTTGAGCAGGCAATCCATTGTTCGCCTGAGGAAATCCACTACTAAAACCTTCTCTGCTGTTGTTCCATGTACTACTTGATACCGGATGTGGATTTGCAGAGGCTCCAGGAAACGAAGTGCTGCTGTTATTCCATCCTAAACTTGACGCCTGGTTTGAATTTGCAGGATATCTGTGATATGAATCAGCACTGTACCCGACATGAGAATTGTTGCTGGTCATGGAGCTCGTAGATGGCTCAGTAGATGAATTTGTGTTGGGCCAACCAAAAGATGTATTGCTGGTATTCCAAGAGTTGCTGGATGGTTGGGTTGATTTCATAAAATTCTCGCCATATGGAGTATTGTAATTGTTCCATGAGTTGTTGGGTGCCTGAGGTGAATATGCAGTGGACGCACCATAAGAGTTAGTAGATGGTTGCTTTAATGCCTCATTGAATCCACCAGGTGAAGTATTGTGGTTGTTCCATGAGTTACTGGGTGGCTGAGATGAATTGGAAGTAAATGCAGTTTGAGATGCATTGCTGTATCCATCATATCGAGCACTGTAGTTACCCCGATAGCCGCTGGGCGGTTGAGATGAATTTGGAGTGGATTCAGTAGAAGATATGTTGTTGTTAGACCAGGAGTTACTTGAGGGCTGAGTTGAATTTACAGTATTGTAGTTGCTCCATAAGTCTCTGGGTGGTGGCTGAGATGGATTCACAATTGATCCACCATAAGGTGTACTGTTGTTACTACTTACAGTGCTAGATTGTTGGGCTGAATTCCCATTGTATCCAGCAAAAGAAGTATTGTAGTTGTTCCATGAGTTGCCAGGCGGAGGAGATGACTTTGCAGTGGATCCACCATAGGATGCCCCGCTCTTTGTCCATAAGTTACCAGATGGTTGGGTCGGCTTCCCAGTGTATCCGCCATAATAATTAGTGAAGTTATTTCCCAGGGGGCTAGTTGGCTCACTCGAATTTATAGAGCCATAAACAGCATTGCTCTCATTCGGTATCTGTGCATTAGATATACTGCTAGTCTGAATTCTATTCCATGATTCTACATTCTTGTCCAAAACGCTAGTGGAAGGCTGAGCTGGATTTTTGATAAAAGGGTCATTAGGTGTGCTTATACGGCTAGTTTGTGATGATCGGGTCACCTCAGGTCCTTGCTTCTGGTTGAATATGCTGTTTCCGTATTCTTTGTCAGTAAAGTTACACGAAGCATTCAGCTGACTTTCTGATGCGGCAGATGATCGACCTGGAATCCTATACAAACTATGGTTAACGCGGTAGTAAAAAAAGAAATTTGAGCCACAAGAAATCTAAAGGTGAAGATAAGAGCATATTAATTAATTTTAAAGACATAAGAATATATATATATATATATATATAGAGAGAGAGAGAGAGAGAGAGAGAGAGAGAACTGTGATTGGGTTTAAAGGAAAAAAAAAATTACTTACCATAGAAAAATGAATAAAATCACGAACTCCATTATAGAATGATTAAAAAAATAGAGTTATCTTCGAAGAAAACGCAAAAGAAAAAAACTGTAGACTAATTGATACCTACTGACATTTGTAGACTTACAGGAAATATATAAAAAAATTAAAAAAAAATTGATATAGCCCTGATTGGATTTTAAAGGAAGAAAGGTTACTTATTATAGCAAAATGAATAAAATCATGAACTCCATTATAGAATTATTCAAAAAATATAATTATCTTTGAAGAAAACGCAAAAGAAAAAATTTTAGACTAATTAATACCTAGTAAGATTTGAAGACTAAGGCTTCGTTTGCGACAGCTTTTTTATTGCTACTTAAAGCGGCTTTCTAGCACAAAAAATTTAAATTTTGTACTAAAAAGTCACTTTAAGAAGCAGCGAGAAAGCCGTCCCAAACGAAGTCTAAAATGAAAATATAGGTGAATTTTATGAAGACTAGAAGGATCTGAAATGATTGGGAAAAAAAGTGTTTTGATATCATGCTTTAAGAACACAGGTGCTGGTAAGCATTGTTGTATGAAAGCAAATTTAAGAGCTATTTAATTAAACTGCGATAAAGCGCAATTGAACTGTCGGGAAAAGAGCTGAGGGCATGAAAAAACAATTAGATTTAGAGCTTGAAAATCTACAATGGATTAAACTTTTGTGCTACGAGCCAATTTGGCTTGTTGCAAGTGGGTTGCACCGTAAAGTAAAATTTCTGTAAAATAAACATGAATAATTTTGCCCCACATCTACTTTGCAACAAATTCTTGAAGAAAATGAAAATTGAATTTTGCTTGCTTCATCAACTTTAGTTTGAAATAAGCACACAAAAAAAACTTTATCAGTACTTTAAGAACATTTTCAAAGAACTAAATATCCCACACGGCAAGGAACAGGAAAATCATGACAGTAACAAAGCCATCTTCATATTATTTGTGTCTTCATATCATTATTGTTGAACTAGACAAATCATATGATCAAAAAAGCCCAATGAGCATTAAGGAGAAAAGGTTGACTATAAAGAGAATGTTTAAATTATTAAAAATAAATATTATAGAATAATTAACAGCATTTGAATAGTTATAGAGTATGATAAATATAACATTAACATTACATAGGTATGTTTTAAATAAGTAATCGATACCCATAAAAGACGTATCAAGCGAGATACCTTCATGTACGCTATTTGAATATATAATTATTATAGGCTAGATCTCTTATGAATTAAGGGAAAGATTAAAATAATCGAGAACGTTTTTAAATAGAAATAACTTTAGATTACTTAGAAAAAGTTTAAACATATGGCCTGAATTTGGTGATTATGAAATATAATAATCATCAAAGAATAACACAAAAAAGATTAAGTGATGTCAAAATTTTAAAATTAGATTATTTATAAAATTAAATATTAAAAGGAGAATGAAAAATTTTTAAATTAGCAAAACTGATCAAGTCGCCACATGGACGGCAACTTAGTATTTTTTTATTATGTTAAGTGTAATACTTAATAGAAGTTCCCCAACATCATCCTCAAAGTTCAGTAAAAGATGCTTCTCCCCACCCTTTGCATTCAACGGATAATACTTCTCCACAGACTGTTTAAAAATCACAAGCCTGTTTAGTTTCCCAACATTACTCAGCAGTAATGACTTCTCAAACATATGTTCTTTCTCACAATTCATACTCCATTCCTTCACCAAGCTATTGATTTTGATGGCAATGGTAGAATTCCAAAATTGTTCTGTTTGTTAAATGAAGTGGTTTGCACGCATTGTAGGAGGAAGCAGAAAAAGAAAGAACTGTGTGCAAAGTTTCTGAAGATGAGAAAGTTGTGTTGAAAAACAAGCACATATAAAATGAAATAATACCAAGTCTCCACATGGACGGCAAGGGCAAGTCACGGTCCACATGGCAACTTTGTTTGTTTTACTAATTTAAATTTTTGCTATCTTTATTTTATATTTAAATTTATAAATAAATTTATTTTAAAATTTTGCCTTGTGTTCTGAGGTATGATACATTTAAGATCATAAATCAATAATATGTTAGAGCAATCCAAAAATAGTTGAGTTTAGTTAAGTTACCTTTTTATAAAAACAGATGCATCAACCAAAAAAAAAAGTTGGGCACAAGATGATGATGTAGCGATTCTAAGAATAACTTTGAGTTATTTGAGTAACAATATAATTTTAAAAAATTATAAATATTAAAGGATGTTAATTATTGGAGAAGAATTTGTACTCAATTTTAAGGAGAGCGGAAATGCATGTAATATTGATAATTATTGGGGCATCAAACTATGAGTTCATATGATTAAATTCAAAGAGGCTAATAGAACAGAACAAGAAACAAAACATATATCTCAAAGCTAAAGAGTGACTTAAATTTATCTAGCAAGGGAAGGTGGTGCATATGGCATAAGGACAGAGAGGAGAATAATTAATGATTACCTGCTATAGGCCTGAATCTAAAGCCCCAAGGCCTAGGAGTAGAGATAGTGGTAACGAATCTAAAGGAAGAGATAGCGGAAGAGACTGAGAGATGTTGGAGATTATTATGTAATCAGTCATAACCCTCCTAAAAAAATAATATCAGAACCTATGGAGGTAGCACTAAGATAAGAAGAAAAAGTTCGATCAATTGTGAAAACATGCAGAGTAGTAGGGGTAATCGAATTTCTCTAAAAAATGTTCAGGAATATGATTGGTGTGGCTAAAATGAGGATAAAAAGAAAAGTATTGAAATCGATCGCCACTAGCCCAACGGCCATGTACAAGACATCACCTGCCACTCCTAGAACCCAAAGCTTAGTTTGGGTCAATGACGAACTCAATGATCCAAAGAACTCTAGAGAACAATTGCAAGGTCAAAAATAATTGATTATGCCATTCATTAAGTGTATAAATTGTAGCGAAGCACAAAAACCAAAGATAAATAGGCAACAAGAAATTTTTTTGGACTACTTGTGTCAAATAATCAATCAATAATGATGCGGAAGTACTAAAGTAACTCATGCTATTTCCCTATCAACATACCATAGTACTACTAGTTCCGCATATCATTTTGTTGGCCAAAAAATAATCTCAACAAGCATATAGATAAAAGGGAATTTGCTTTCCTGAAAACAGATCTAATATTCTAATGTAAAAAAAACTTGCAAATCTCCTTAGTCTGGTCTTAAAACATGATGGAAATAACAAGTGATAGAAGATGATTGTGCTATTTCCATTTCATCCAAGAGTCTTTTTCTGAATTGTGCATCCAAGCTCAATATTTTGATTAAATAAAGTTACTGCTTTTTGCACAGAATCAAATGGCTTTGTATATGTCTTCACCACATTTCCTCTTAGTTCAAGGATTCAGAAAACAAATAGCATTGTATAGGAGCTTGATAGATCATGAAAAATCTTCTGGCTGTAGTTACCTCTGAGTATTAGTCTAATCAATGCCAGATGAGGGTATGACGTTTAAGCAGCCAGCGATGACATGCATAAACAAGTATCATGTATATGTCATAGTCATAGGGAACATTGGCAACTGCTATTGTTGATTTGTTGTCTCAAACTTCCCATAGATGATTTTAAAAGCATTTCAGAAGCTCTCAACTCTATTGGTATTGTCAATTTTATAATGACACATTCACAATCATTATTACCTGCATCTGGAGGTCAATTTGGTTCTCCATCGTAAGCTGCTAACGACTTTATAATTGATTTGAAGGTAGGTGAAATTGATATAGAACACTCAATTCGTGAGTCTATATCTGTGAATCTGTTACTGTCATCATTTAAACTGAAGAAACGTAGTCCAACTGATCTTCAATATGGACTTGCCCTTTGCCATAGCTAGCATTTATTTGAATTTTATTTGCAAGCTTGTAGTATTCTACTTTGTTCTCCAAATTGTATGCATTTAACGCCCGAATTGTTCAAACCATAATTGCATACGGCTAGATAAGTCTCCAAAATGATCATATTGCATGTATTTATTTTAATCAATTGCTCATATGTTGTTTGCAATCTTCAACTTGATGTGTTATTCCAATTCTTTATTTCTATTTCGAACAGGATGCTGCCAAGGAAGCTATCAACAGCGTGGTTATTGGCATATTTGAAATTCAACAGACTTGTTGGACTAAGGATTGGGGCTGCGATTGAACAGTGAGCAAAGACGTATGAATGGATTGTAAAAGTTGCGAGATGACAGGCGCAAGGTGAGTAGGTTGCATGCAAAGGTTAATGTTGGGAAGAGGATTGGCGAGATCAAACATCTATGAAGAGGGTGACTACTGCGTAGGGTAGGATTTTTCATTACTCTAATCCCACATTTAGGAGAAATGTTTTCATCCATATCTTATTCACTAGAGAACCCCATTGCTTACAATAGAGGGATGAGAAAAACATTTAAAAAACACAACCAATTAAATATACATCACTCCCTTTGTTTAGAGAACTCTCCTATTTTATTGTTTCCCTACAATAAAAATGATGATGATAATGGGTCAACAATATGTTTATAACTTTTTTATGTTAGAAATGAAAATGCATATAATGTATATTCAAGTATTTTTGTCTATGTTATTTGCAAATGACATAATTCTCCTTAGTGAGAACTTCATTGAGATAAACAAATTAGAATGACAAAACATTTTTAAAAGACAAGAATATGCAATTTTAGCTTAGGATTATTAAAAAAAGAATTAAATAAGCAATTTTAGCAGGTATGAAATTGAAAACTATTAGTCACCTTTTTTTGAAAAAGCAAGTGAAATCAACCTG